TTTCCAGAAGTTTACATTACACCAAGTAGAAACTCATTTATCAATAGCTCCATTTCATCATTCTTGTCCATGGTCATGATCAATAAACTTAAACTTATGTATTTGATGAATCTAGGTATTTTGTATGCATAGATATTTTACATATTATAGTTTCACCTTTGCATGTAATTTAACTTGACATGTTTTTAGATCAGTGTTTTGTTTTCTTCTTTAAAATAAGTACAAACTTTGTATTAATTGAATAAGATAGCCCTGGTGGTGCAGTCATAGGGAGCTGCCCTGCTAACCTGTAGGTGGCACCTTTCTGTTGTTCTCTATGGGAGAACAATGAACAATCTTCTCTCATGCAATTTACAGCCTCTGAAAACTCACTGGAGGACCAACTGTTCATCAGTTCCTGCTCAATGGCAGTGAGTTGAGTTATACTTGTATTAACTGAACAGAATAGCTTTATCACAAATTGTTAGTGGGTATTAACAATTTTTCTTCACTTTCCTGTTAGTGGGTATTCATTTCCTTTTTTTGTTTATTGTGATGAATGCTGCAATGAACACTGGTATACATTTATCTATTCAAGCTCCTACTTTTAAGCTTCTTTGAAATATATCTGATATTGGAATGATATTGCTGGGTCATATGGTAATTTCTTGTTTAACTTCTTGAAGAACTACCAAATTGTTTCCCATAGAGGCTGTGACCCATTTCTGCAAACAATGCACAAAGATTCTAATATCTTCAAATTTTCACCAACATTTTTTGTTAGGTGTTCCTTGAATCAGTTTCAAATTATAAAGAGGTTATATCTAACAGAAGAATAAAACAAAACAAAACAAAACAAACAACAACACACTGCTTGGCCTTGAGCCATTCCCATAATCGTTGCTTCTGCCACTGCCACTGTGGCTATCTGTAGCATTGAGGGTCTTCCTAATTTTCATTAACTCTCTACTTTTGATATACTTCTCCTGGGATTAGCCTCTCTTGATAACATAATCACATAACCAAAATATAAAAAAGTAAGTCTCTCCATCTTGATCTCTAAGGAGCATTCAGGCTGGACTTTGTTTTAAGATGCATGTTGTTGTTATTGTTAATTGTCATTGAATCACTTCCAAATCATAGTGACCATTGAAGGAGGATCAAAATCCAGGATTTCACATGCCAGGGCAAAAGAACATTTAGATAGGATCCAATCTACTTGATTGTGCTTGAATGTTGTATACTCAACTTGCAGCCAGAGTGCAAGAATATACCATCTGTTAAAGCTTTAATTTTTCTGTATACATTCTAATTAGGATTCTTTGCTCAATTTTCTGACACTATCACCAGCTTACATTGGAGACTAATTCTGATCTTGTTCTTTTCATCGTAATTTATTGATCTGACTAAATCTGTTATGATATTCCTTTAGAACATTTTTCTGCCCTTCATTTAGAAATTCCAGTTTCATATCCATTTATTAGCCTTTAGCTTCTAAAATTAATTATTTCACTTACCAAAACTTGTCAAATAATATTAGCTCTGTTTCAATGTGCTGAACATATGAACATATTTATTTTACATATCACCAGCTGGAACAATTTATTCTTACCTGTTGTTTTTTTAAAAGCTTGCTCTATATGACTTGATTAATTCAATACTACTAAGCTGATCTGCAATCCCAAAGGCAAGCAGTTCGAGGCCAACAGCTGCTCCATCAGAGAAGGATGAGCAATCTCCTCCTGGGAGATTAACTGTCTCTGAGACTTGCTGGGGGGGGTCAGCTATGGGTTAGTTCCAACTCCATGACACACAACAACAACAACAATGACATTAATATCCCAATGTTAGAGATGTTACTATTATTCTTGCTTTATGTCTAAGGGAACTGAGATATGTTGGGAATAGTAGGTCTTGGATTTTACTTACCACTCGCAATGATTGAAGAAGACTCAGTCCTTCAACATTCGCTAGAAAAATGTCAGTTAAACCAAGGAATACAATTAGGCTGTCAAATATGTTCCAGCCCATTTGGAAATATCCATATGGATGCATGGCAATTATTTTAAAGATCATTTCTACAGTGAAAATTCCAATAAAAACCTACATAAAAACAAAACACTTAAGTGAAAAAAAACACACAAAAAACACAAAACCAAAAAATCACCCAACATTCCAATAGCTCCATAACAACAATGATACAGAAAAACTAGTTTTGAACAGCAGCATTCATCATTGCTCTTCTGTCAAGATCTGATTTGTTTTGGAAAATATAAAATACCTTCTCTGGATTTTAGAACTGCCAAACTACGGAGAATCATGAATTGGGGCAGTTGACATAAAGCATCATAGCCAATTCTATTTTCTTCTAGTATTGTAAGAGTTCATTACTACTAGGTATATGATATAGCACAAAAGTAGAATGTTACTATAATTATAAATGTTGGATAATGAGCTAGTCATTTGTGAATAGATGGTGTACAGCAAAATCTGAAAGAGCTGAAAGTTATGAGAACAATCTTGTTTCTCTAGGTCTTTCAAATTTTCTGCCTTTGATATGGTGCTGCATTAACACTTTTCTATTATTCTTAATGGAAATTATTTTAATTTCTTTCTTGGACATTGTCCACTCTATACAAGTATTGGACTTCAAGTGTTCTACTATCATTTTCACATAAAAATCTTGTTAAAAAACCTCATTTAAACAGTAGAAGATTCAACTCTAGTAATATAATATAATATGATATTATATAATATAAAATATAATTAATATATAATATAATATAATATAAGGAATATGTATAAAATAGGAAATATCGTGGACAGAGCACTCCATATAATCATATATGATGTTGTTACAGCATATGAGAGTAATGAAATCGAATTTGGGGGATAATGGTAACTAAGAAAAATTGAAATAGCAAATGACAACAAAGCACAGTGAGAGTTTTACCAGGTTTCCAATGCTGAGAAGAGTGTCGAAGTCTTCATTCATTGGATAATGTTCCAATGCTAGCAATAGTGTGTTTAAAATTATGCATATGACCAGGGCAAGGTCAGTAAATGGGTCCATTAAAATCATATGAGCAAACTCTTTCAATTTTAACCAACAGGGAGAGCAATCCCAGATACAGAAAATTTTAGCACATCTATACCAACACAATGGACATTTCTTCCTGGATTTCTTTGCTTCTGAAAGGAAGTAATAAAAAGATAAATATTAATATACCATTCATTTAATTTTAATTAGTAATCAATATTTAATAGTTTCCTGTAAAGATAAATTTAAAACTAGATTTTGAATTTAGAATTGTTATTGTTAAGAAGGTTAGTGTCAATGATGACTCATAGTGACCCTATGAACAACATACCTGAATCCCGCCCTATCCTATGCCATCCTCGTCTCTGATACACTGCAGCCCTCAAGTACAGTCACTGTGTCGATTCCGCTCATTGAGAGTCTTGCTTTTCCTTCACTGACCTAAAATCTTTCCAATCATGGTCCTTTCTCAAGGACTGAACACTCATAACAACCTGTCCAAAGTATGTGGAAAAGCTTCATGACCTCCAAGGAGCACCCTGGCTGTACCTTTTCCAAGACACATTTGTTATTTTGACAGTCTGTGGATTATTCAGCACTCTTCTTCAGTATCATAACTCAAATGCATTAGTTCTCTTTTGTCATCCTTACTCACTAACTTTCAGTTGCATAAAAAGTAATTGAAAAGATCATAGTTTAGATTAGGTGCATTTTAGTCTTCAAACTTATGTCATTGCACCTTAGTCTTCAGAGTGATATCATTGCTACTTCTTGGAGAAGTCTCTGACAGCACAATTTCCCAATGCAACGTATGTTTTGATTTCCTGGCTGCTGGTACCAAGGGTGTTGATTGTAGACACTAGGAAGATGAAATCATTGATAATTTCTATCTTTCCTCCATCTCTCATGATGCTGCCTTATCACTGATGGTGAGGTTTGTTTGTTTTTCTTTTCTTGGGGTTGATAAGGAACCTATATTGAAGGCTTTAGTCCTTGATCCTCTGTAACAAGCATTTCAAGTTCTCCTTACTTTCAGCAAAGTAAGGTTGTGTTTCCTGCAAAATGCAGGTTGTTGATTAGTTTTCCTCCAATTCTGATGCCACATTCTTCTTCCAGCCTCCCAAATGATTAGTTCTGCATGCAGACTGAATAGGTATGGAGAAAGGATACAGTCCTGATACATATTATTTTTTATTTTAAACTATATAGTGTTTCCTTGCTCTGATCACATAATACCTTCTTTGTCTAGGAGTATGTTTTGCATGAGCACAACTAAATATTTGGGGATTCTAATTCTACTCAATGTCAGCCATAATTTGTTCTGATTCCATTGAAATGAATAATAAAAAAAATTTGTTCAGATTCACGCATTCAAGGTCTTTGCATAGTCAATAAAATACAAATAGACATCTTCATGTTATTTTTTACTTTCAGCCAAGATCCATCTGATGTCAGCAATGATATTCCTCATGCCACACCTTCTTCTAAATCTGGCCTTAAATTCTGTCAGTTTTCTGCCAAAGTACTATGCTAGCCATTTTGTAATAATCTTCAGCAAAATTTTACTCGTATGTGATAGTAATGATATTGTTTAGTAATTCCACACTCTTGTGGATCATATTATTTTGGGGACTGAGAACAAATATGGATCTCTTCCAGATGGTGGGTATGGTAGCTATCTTTCAACTTTTCTAGTAAGTTGAAATTAGTTGAATTAGCAAGTTGGAAAAAAAACCCCACACCCCGCTATGCTAATAAAAACAGATTCATCTTGGAAAAGGTGGAGCCAGAGTGCTTCTTAGAGGCAAAATTGGCAAAAATTTGTTAGTTATATATGAAAAGGCACAAGCAAATCTTAAAACCACCTTACTCCAACTCTACTTATGTTTTTGTCAATTTCTTGACTATTTGAGGTAACTTTTTCAATATTAACATAACCATCTATATTTGTCCCCATTCCAAAGAAAGGTGACTGAACAGAGTGTGGAAATTATAGAACAATATCACTGATATCACATGCAAGCAAGATTTTGCTGAAGATTATCCCAAAACGACTGAAACAGAACATTAGCAGAGAACTGCCAGAAGTCTAGGCTGGGTGTAGAAGGGGTCGTGGTACTAGGGATATTGTAGCTAATGTTAGATGGATCCTAGCTAAAAGCAGGAATACCAGAAGAATGTCTATCTGCATTTCTTTGATTATGCAAAGGCATTTGACTGTGTGGATCATAACAAACTGTGGCTGACTCTGAGAAGAATGGGAATCCCAGAACATTTAATAGTGCTAATGCAAAACCTATACTTGGACCAAGAGGCAGTCATCAGAACAGAGCAAGGAAACACTGCATGGTTCAAAATTGGGAAGGATGTACAACAGGGATGTGTCTTATCTCCATAACTTTTCAACCTGTATGCAGAAAAGATTTTCTGGGCGGTAGGGCTGTATGAGGAGGAGTGTGACATCAGGACAGGTAGAAGATCCATTAACAATCTGTGTTATGCAGATGACACAATCCTGCTTACTGAAACTGAGGAGGACCTGAAACACTTGCTGAAGAGGTTCAAGGATTGCTGCCTTCAATATGGATTAAGACTCAATATCAAGAAGACAAAGAATCTCACCACTGGGCCAATTGGCAGCATCAGATGGATGGTGACAAGATTGAGATTGTTCACAGATTTAGTGTGCTTGGTTCCTCAGTCAACACTCTTGGCACCAGCAGTCAGGAAATTAAAATGCATATTGTGATGGAAAAGCCAGCGGTTAGGGACCTTTCCAGGGTACTGAAGAGTGATGGTATCACTCTGGAGACTAAGGTGCACCTGATACAGGCCATGGTCTTTACAATCACTTGCTATGCATCAGAGAGCTGGACAATGACTAGGGATGATAGAAGGGGAATTGATGCCTTTGAGCTGTAGTGCTAGAGAAGAGTATTGAATGTACCATGGACTTCTATGAAAACCAACAGGTTCATCCTAGAGAGAGTTAAACCAGGTTTCTTCTTGGAGGCAAGGATTCTGGGGCTTCGTCTGACATACTTTGGACATGTTGCAAGGAGGGACTGATCCTTAGAGAGGGATGTCATGCTTGGGAGGGTGGAGGGACAGCGCAGGAGAGGAAAACCCTCTGTGAGGTGGATTTGATTCAGTAACTAGGGTAATCAGTGTGGGTGTATTGGAGACAGTGAGATTGGCACAGGACAGAGCAGGGTTTAAGGCTGTTGTACATAGGGTCACTATGAGTCACAAAAAACATCACATAACAACAACAATAACATGCTTATAAAATTACTAGGTATTCCTTTTCTTAAAATTTACACATTAATCCTTAAATCTTCTATATTGTCATATAAAATTTCAAAGAAATAGCATACTCTCATTAAGAGCAAATATTATTTATTGTATCCTCTATGATGTCTAAATATTTTTAAATTTACCTTCATTATGTCTGAGAGTATCATCATCCAACATATCTACAGATGTGGTCATAGAAGTTGGTGATCTTTTCTTCATTTCTATTTGTATAGTCTTGGTCTGAAAGGAAATTTGATTTAATACTGTTGAAAGGAAGCTTGGTGACTCAGTGTTTGAGCACTTGGGTGATAGTCTAAAGGGTAATAGTTCAAACCCAAGACTTGTTCCAAGTCTTGTTCTAAGATTGTGCCAATCTGCTTCTGTAAAGATGAATAGTACAGGTAGAAATTTAATGGGATAGTACTTCTCTGTTCTCTAGGCTTATTATGAGTTGGAATTAAAGCAAAGGCACACAGAACCACAAATAACATTGGTTTCTGTTCTGTAGATCAAAGATCATAACTACAAGAAGTTGTATAATCTTGTTTAAAATGTTGATTCTTACCTCCAGAAATGTTTCTAGGTTCCACCATGTGCCAACTTTTATAACATACATGACATTATGTTGATGTGGGATTGTTTAACAAATATGTACAAATTGTAGCTACAAAGTCATTTATAAAAGGAGAAAGGACAAATGGATATTAGTAATATTAACAATATATGACCTTGAGTACTGTACCATTATTTTGCTACATCAATTGGGAAACATGCTATTGAGTAAAAAAGAAATGGTTTTTAATATTCTTGGGCATGGAAGCTTGCTTAAGGAAGAATGTAGGTTTAGCAGTTAGCTAGGAATAGCTTGAGGGAGTTCTTGAGCTCACAGTTTCTATCTTTCACTTGTTGTGCTCTCTTTTGTACATCTGAACTCAAGAGGTACTTCCTTAGGAAGTTTTTTTTTTGTTTCTATTTGTGTGTGTGTGGGGGGGGGGGGGGGGCGCGCGCGCGCGCGCGCGCACACGCGTGTACCATCAAATTGGATCTGACTGGTACAGGAGGAAATTGTCCCTCCTTCTCCAGTAGAGCATCTAGTGGATCCAAACCACACACCTCTGGGATTACAGTGCAGCTTCTTGCCAGTAGGCCACCAGAACTCCCTTAGAAAAACTTTTGTGAATTTCAAATATATATCTAGTATAGGCTCTCACAACTTTATCTTCACCTTCTAGAATGTGCTACTTTCAAATTTAAACTTTGGATTCAACAAAGAGCTATATGCTTTTATTCAAGAAATAGATAATATCATACTCTTATTCCATTGACTCATCATCTCTACTTCATTTTTAAAATATTTTTTGAAAATCAGAAGTTTTACAATTTACAAATGAATTTTATATCTTTAATTATCACAATAAGAAAAATAAACAATTCCTTAAAATCAGTCAATACCCCAACTATACTTAATTTTTCACTCATTACACAAGAATAATTATAGTTCCTCATCAACGAATGAATGGATAGGAAAAGATGGTATATTCACACAATGGAATACTATGCAGCTCTGAAAAAAAGAAACTAATAAAATATTACACAACATGGATGACTCTGGAGGATATTATGCCGAGTGAAATATCTCTGTCACAAAAGGACAAATATTACATTACATCACTGCTAGAAAACAGGACTGACATGGGAGTTGGAAAGAAACTGAGAAAAGGGGGAATAAATAATGAACAGTGCATTGGAACAGATGAAGGAAAGTACTGCTTAAAAGGAATATATGATTAGACCTTATCTGTATGATAACAGTATAGAATAAGAGGTGCATAGTAAAGTGAACTGGGGGAGGGAGGGAGAAAATCATGAAACAGTGAATAATGTTTTTTTCAAAGTGAACTAGGAGGAGTAGGGAGGAAAGTGTGAAACAATGTATAAATGAAAATTGGTAAACTTCTGTTAAAATCACAATAAAAAACACCCCCAAAAAGGGAATAGTTATAGTTGATTTGTTAAAATAAAAATACTGTTTATTATGTTGTATTTTTAATGTGCTTTCCTGTCATTTATATTGTGGCATTTTCTAAAGTGTTGCATTATAATTTTGCTGATTGTGTCTTATATACCTACAATAAAGTAATTTTACAACATCTTTCTCTTAGAGTTTTTGAAAAAGGATAGAGTCTTAGTAGACTCGGTTGTAATTTTGGCAAACATACTACTTAGTTGGTGCTTATTTTTCCTAGTTATATTATCAATAAGTACATATTATGTTGTTTTCCTAGAGTTACAATACTCTATGATAATTTAATAGTCTATCTCCCCATTTTTCAGTCTCTGTGTCATAGTGGTTAAAGAAATTGACTGCCAACTGAAAGATTTGAACCCACCTTACTACTCCATTGGTAAAGAGACTAAGTTGTGTCTGATTCAGGCCATGGTTTTTCCAATCACTTGCTATGCATCTAAAAGTGGACAGTGAATAAGGATGACAGAAGATTTGATGCCTTTGAGCTGTGGTGTTGGAGAAGAGTAGTGAACATCCCATGGACTGCCCAAAGAACAAACAAGTATGTCTCGGAGAAGGTACAGACAGAGTGCTTTTGGGGGGCAAAGATGAGAAAGCTTCACCTAACATACTTTAGGAATGTTGCTAGAAGGGGCTGGAGATGGACTTGATGCTCAGAAAGGCAAAGAGTCAGCAAAGGAGAGGAAGACTCTTGACCAGGTGGATTGACAGGGTGACTGCCACAGTGGGCTCTAGTATGTTCAGAGGGGTGAGGATGGCACAGGATAAGACGGGGTTCAGATTGGTTGTTCATAGGATCACTATGGGTCATTGTCGACTCGACGTCACGTAACAACAATACTCTATAGGGAAAAGATGAGGCAGTTTCCTACAGTAAAGGTTTATGTACTCAGAAATCCTGTAGGTAGATCTACCTTGTGCTGCACAGGTGCTGTGTGCCAGAATCAACTTGACAGTAGCGGGTTGTGTCTCCTGATTGGACCATAAGTTTCTAGAAGGCACATGTTATTTGTATTTATTTTTCTTTTTACTTTTCATTGATATTTTAATGAAAGTTTACAGAAAACTTGGATTTCCATTTATTCATTGTTACACATTTTTCTCCCTACCTCTGTTTGTATTTATTTTATAAACATCTTTAGGGGTTATCACAAAGTCTAGAGTATAACAGATTTTTTAATAAGGTTTAATCAGTAGATGAGTTATAAGGATGTTAATTTAGTCAGCAAAAATATTTTTAACTATATCCATGGTTTTATATATATATATATATATATATATATATATATATATATATATATATATACATGATTCTTTTCCTGACTTTTGCCAATAGTTGACAACACTTAGGAAAGTCTCTATCTGCAAATTATGGACTTGGTGGAATATTGTTTTAATGTTGAAACCGCAAAACAAGTAAAGTGGGGGGAAATGACTTGGAAATTATTCCTAGTTTTAAAAAAACTGACACTAGTAAGTGTAGACAGACCTTCACATTTATTACTCCTCAATAAGGATAAGTTCAAGATGGATAGAAAACACTGATTATGTGGGTAACACAAAGTTATTATTCAACTATTTGCCATTGCTGTTGTTGTTGTTACTATCAAGTCAGAACTGACTCATAGCTGACCCTCTAATGAGCTTTCAGAGACAGTAAATCACTGTAAATGATCTTTTTCCAATGAGCAGCTGGTAGATTTGAACTACAGGCCTTCGGAACAACAGTGCAACTCCTTCAGATCTCCCATTTGTGATGATGATAGTGATGATAATGATTATAATTTAAGAGAGGTATTTTATGCTAATAGGGTGTTCATTTCAAATGTTTGTGGTTTTGTTTTTAAACAACACAAAAGATGCTTACACATCAGAATCTCACTGAATGGAACATGCAGTAATCAAACTGACTGTATCAATGGAAACAGATGATGAAGACACTCAATATTATCTATCAGAATAAGAGAAAAGTCTATCTGTAAAAGCAGACAACAAACTGCTCATACATATGTCCAAGTGCACTATAGTAAATAAAAACAAGACATTGGAGAAGCTGAAGAACGTGAAAACAACTCCACTAAAGGAAAAAGAAATCTTGAGTATATACCAGAGAGGAAGACTCTTGATGAGATGGATTGACTCAGTGACTGGGGTTATGGGGATAAGTGTGTCAGAGACAATAAGGTTGACTCAGGATAGAGTAGGGTTCAGAGCTGTTGGACATAGTGTAGCTATGAGTCGCAAGTGGCTCAACAGCACATAACAACAACAACATATTCCAAGTGAATGTACAGATTATGCCAATAATTGATTTGATATATTGAACACTAATTATTGGAGATCAGATGAGTTCATGAAAAAGGCAAAGGTTCATGAAAAAAAAAAAAAAAAGGCAAAGGTTCATGAAAAAGACTGCAAAAAAGAAGAGACCAAATTGGATCAGAAAAATTCTGAACATTGTTCTATAATGAAGACAAGCTAAAGGAAAAGGGGAAAAACCCAAAACTATAAAGTAATAGAGCTAAAAAGATTTCAAAGTGTGCATAAAGAATACAAGATAAATACTACAGTCAATTATGTAGAGATAAGAAGTCACAAAATCAAGAGAAAAATACATTTCCCTAACTGGAAAAAAATAGCCAAACACAACACCCCCCCACCCCCTCACACACACAATGGAAAGAAAAATCAATCTTTGAATTGTATTAGTAAATTATTCTATTGTTAAGATATTGAATAAAACAAGGAACATTAAGGGAATATAGAAAGAATACAGATTCACTGCACCAAAAAGAACTGGTTGATGTTCAGTCATTTCAGGAAGTAGTATATCATCAAATTCCAGTGACACTGAAGGAGGAAGGTTCCCTGAAGACACTGGCAAAAACCAGGGTTTATGAATTGACATAGCACTAATTGAGTTATTTCAATAAATGAATTTAATGCTGGAAGTGTTCATTTGTTCATACCAAGAAATTTAGAAGATGGTGAAATTACTGGACAAGATCAGTATTTGTTTCCATTCCTAAGGAAGCAGATTCAGTTCAACATGAAATTATCAATCAATATTATTAATATCACCTATGACAAAGTTTTATTGAAGATAGTATCAAATGTTTGCAGTCATTCATTGACATGAAACTAGCAGGAATTCAAGTCATATTCAGAAGAGGTAGTGGATCTGCTATATCATTGCTGAGGTGAGATGAATCTTAGCTGAATACAAAGAATACCAGAAAGACAGATGTTCATTAGTATAGATGTTCACTAGTGTTTTACCAACTCTGCAGTTACTAGATTGTATGGATAACATTGAGAAGAAAGATGTAGTCAATTATGCCCATGTGGAACTATACATGGACCAAGAGAGAGTTCAAATAGAACAAAGGAGCGTTTCATGGTTTAAAACTGGGAAAAGTGTATATAAGATTTGTATCCTTTCACCATATTTATTCAATTTATATGCAAAGTAACTAATCTGAGAAGCTGCAGTATATTAAGAACATGGTATCAAGATTGTAAGAAGATTCATTATCAACCCACAACATGCAGATGACAGAAAGCAAGGAGGGCAAGATGCAACTATCAATGAAGAAGAAAGACTAAAGCCTTCAGAATGAACTATACCTACACACAAAAAAATTCTTATAACTTGATTCTTATAACATGATAAATAATATTATGATAAACATGAAAAGACTGAAGTTGTCAAACTCATCAATTCACTTTGATTCGCAATGAATACCCATGGAGACAACAATCAAAAAATTGAATTATGTATTTGCTTTGAGCAAATCTACTTCAAGGATGCCCTTTTGAGTTCTTGAGTGTACCTGCCTAAGCCATGGTATTTTCAATTGTTGTATCTGGAAAACTAAAGAAGAACTGATAATTTTTTTTTTTTAGAACAGTAATTTCTTTGTCTTTTGTTTAGATGGTAGCAAGAACAAAGTGCCTCAGCTTGCTGCATAAGGACAAGCAAGCATTGATCAGCAGGCAGGCGTGGTCAGGTCATCTTTGGGTAAAGAGTTCAGAGGTCAGAAGGTCACTGGTTAGTTGCCAGTGGCAGCTCGGTCTGTGGTCACAATCCTTGTAGTGTTGATGAAGAATATGGAATATACCATGTACTGAGAGTGGAACGAACAAATGTGTCTTAGAAGACACGCAGCCCGAGGGCTCCTTAGAAGCAAAGGTTCATGAGATGTCAGCTTACAAACTTTGGATGTGTTACCAATAAAAACAATTCTTGGAGCAAGAACATCATGTTTTGTAAAGTACAAGGTAAGAAAGAAAGAGGAAGACCCTCAGTGAGGTGGATTGATGAAGTGGATGTGACAATGGGCTGAAATGCAGCCAAAAATTGTGAGAATGCTGCAGGACCTGACAAGATTTTGTTCTGCTGTTACTAGCTGCAACCAACTCAGTATCACTTAAAAACAGTGTATTCTAAATTGTCCTAAGTGCTATGTTGTTGTTGTTGTTGATTGCCTTTGAGTTGAGCACAATTCATAGCGACCCTATGAACAAAAGGCCTGAAGCCCCGCTACAACTATCTACATTTATCAAAGTTCATAGAGTTTCTGGAAGCATGTTCTTTAGGATGTGTATACCACTCCTGCTTCCAATAAGTGTTGCAAGTGCATTTATTTTATAACTACCAATGAGACAGACACCCTATTTATATATATTTTATAGAGAAGATGGAATTGATTGATTAAAGGAATTCCCAGCATTTTAATTTAATTTAATTTAAATGCATGAATCTCCTTCTGTGTTCACTGCCTCTGAAATCACCCTGGATGGCCAGCTATGGGTTGGTTCCAATTCAATGGCACACAAAAAAATAACAAAATTCTAAAGAAGGCTAGAATCTGTATTTATTTTGCTATAAAAATAGTGCTTTTAGCTAATACATTCTAATACAGTCTACTTCTTTTCTACGATGTTAAACCTAAGTGATTTCAATTCCAACATGGAATTACAACTTTACTAGTCTTGGATCATCATCTAAAGCGTCCTAAGTATGTTCGATTTTATAGTTTTCTCTCACTCCTAAGTGTTTTCTTATGTATAAATAATAACAGAAAGTGATACAAATCTTGTGAAATGGCTTGAAGTTTCATTTCCCAGAAAACGTCTTCATCACAAAATGTTCCAGGACTCTTCTGGGGGCAAAAAATCCTTTTAAATGAAATATTTTTAAATTTAAGTCAGAAAAACATCATGTGATCCAGAAGCAGCAAAATGAATGGAGGTATTTGGGAGTTAGGAAATAACCAAAGTTTTTTTAAAGTAGAGTTTAATAGAGTATTTCATCTTGGGATAATAGAAGTTTTATTGTACACTTGGATACATTTGTATGTAGTTGTAAGCCCTAGAACTGCTGAAATGTCACTTCAGAACAAATTACACATTCAACACATCATTCAGTGCCCATTCATTCAATATGAAGGACCCTAGACTCATTGCTAGAGACAGAGAGCTTTTATCATTTTGTTTTTCATGACTATCCCATGAGTGATATAATGGCTATACTGAATAGCATCTTTTTAATGGATTTTTTTTTTAGATGTTCTATAATTGTTTCTTGTTTTCATTGGTATGCATGTTTTGGAACTTGTTAAACACAAATCTATCAAAAACTTGCTGCTTTGTAAGATTTTGCATCATCTCATTTGGACTCAACTATTTAATAGAATTACTTTTATAGAGATAACGAAAAATATGGTTATATGTGCAACTCAAAACCTAGAACTAAATCCACTACCATCAAGGGGGTTCCACTTGATAGTGATTCTCCGTTTGCTTTCTGAGGCTGTCACTTTTATCAAAGGATGGAGTAGCTGGCAGATTTGAACTGTTGAGCTTCTGTTTACCAATCTGTTATACTAGTTATGATAAAAGAAAATGAACCTTTTCCTCTTTTTATCCAGATATGTTGTTGTTGTTATGTTCCATCGAGTCGTTTGCGACTCATAGTGACCCTATGTACAACAGCCCTAAACCCTGCTCTATCCTGTGCCAATCTCATTGCCTCTGACACACCCATCCAGATTACCCCAGTCACTGAATCAACCCACCTCATAGAGGGTCTTCCCCTCCTGCACTGTCCCTGCACTCTACCCAGCGTGATGTCCCTCTCTAAAGACCTGTCTCTCCTTACAACATGTCCAAAGTATGTCAGGCGAAGCCCCAGAATCCTTGCCTCCAAGGAGCAGCCTGGTTTAACCCTCATTAGGATGGATCTGTTTGTTTTTTTGTCAGTCCATGGTACATTCAACACTCTTCTCCAGCACCACAGCTCAAAGGCGTCAATTCTCCTTCTATCCTCCCTAGTCATTGTCCAACTCTTTGATGCATAACAAGTGTTATACATGGCCTGTATTAGGCACACCTTAGTCTCCAGAGAGACACCGTTGCTCTTGAGTACTTTAGAGATGTCCCTAACTGCAGACTTTCCCATCGCAATAAGTTTTTTGATTTCCTGGCTACTGGTGCCAAGAGTATCCAGATATGACCATCGTTATTAATGAACTTTTTAACAAGTCTTACTACATATTCCACTTAGTATTGGAATTCTTTTGTTCTCACCTCTTTTTATCCTCTTCTTCATGTGATTGTCTTGAGTATGTTCTTGTTTGTCAAAATCTTTGAGTAACCCAAATCATTTGCGCTCAATCACTAACCAAAACTGGGGGCTTCAAGGCCCCTCATGTGCTACATGGTGGCCTGAAGAATCCCCTAAGTCAGCATTCACACCAGGACAAGGTGTCTGGTTTCGTACTTGTCTTCGATATTCTTTGCCCTTTGCCTCAGTTCTGATTCTTTTCCCATCTACTTGAACAAGCTAGGTTAAAGGGTAGACATGTGAGGTTTCAAGGTCCTGAAGACAGAAAGAAGCTACTTTTGAGTTTTATGCTTATTATTGTTCATAGTTTAGAACACCTGAGGCATATTTTCAAAGACAATTTTCCACATAATTTTTAATAAAAATTCTTTAAGTGATTTTAGGTTGTGAAACGAAATATTTAGGTGGCTAAAAAATTGAAAATACAACCAAACTCAGTAAAAAAAATACTTAAAGATTGCCATAAGATCTTGTTTTTACTTATTATGGGCTTAATAAGTACATAATAATACATAATGTATCTCCTCTCAAAAGTGATATAAAGGAAAAAATTTCTTCTGTTTTTATGTTAGCACTGAAATTTTATCCATTCTATGAAGATAAGTTAATTTGCAATAAAAAATATAATACATTCAGCTTACAATCTGTAGTGATTCACATTTTTGGGATAAAAATATCTCTATATGGTAAAGAAATCTTTAAAAGTATTCGTTCTTTTAACTGCAGTGATTTAAAGAAAGACTGGTAAGGAGTAAAAGAGATTCCCTAAATAGAAATAAATTATGATCTCCTAATAATGTGCCTTTGAGTTGTGGTTTTGAAGAAGAGAACTAAGCATCTCATGGACTGTCATAAAAAAAACAGTTATATCTGGGAAAAAAGTGCAGTCAGAGTGATCCTTAGAGGCAAAGATGATAAAGCTTGGTCTCACATACTCTGCACATGTTGTTATGTTGTTATGTACTATTGAGTTGGAACTGACTGATAGCAGACTCTCTTGGAGGTTCTCAGAGATAGTAAATTGCATGATAGGAATTTGCCTGCCTTTTTCTAGCAGAGGAGCTGGTAAATTCGAACTGTGAGCTTTGAGTTTGGTAGCACAACTTCTTACCACTAAGCCACCAGGAGAGGTCATCCCTTGGAAAGGTAAAGTGTCAGTGAAAGAGAGAAGGGTTGAGAGGAGAGGAGAGGAAATGATGTGGACTGACCTCAAAATGATGGGTTGGCATAGTGGCTGTATCAGTGGGCTCCTGTGTGGCAGAGATGGTGAGCATGGCACAGGATAGGACCAGGTTTAGATCTGTTTTTGTTTATAGGGTTGCTATGAGTCTTATGAAGCTTGAAGACACCTAACAACAATTATGTGTCACACACATGATAGCTGGTATGGCAGAAAATGATTTATTCTAAGACCTTGAAAAGGATAGCTCTGTGATTTTTAAGAAACATTGAAAAAAAAATAACTATACCTCCACTGCTTCTTTTCCTTCTTGAAATTCTTGTAAAGTCTGCTGATATTTTGGTTCAGTCTTCTGAGCTCTTTCTGTGTTTGCTTGCTTTTCTTCTTCATAGGCCATAGCAAGTATGCTCAAGAACAAACTTGCCATGTAAAAGGCAAACCAAAAACTTACCACAACAAAAAAGATCATGTAGATCTTCCCAGAAGCATAAAGGATCTAATGAGAAGTGGACAGTTCGATTAAAAAGAGAACTGTTATTTCTCTCTATATCATTTTATTTCAAAATGATAAATGCAATTTGTTACAAAAATAATTTTATTTAGTCATAAGTGGAAAATAATCACAATGCTGTTCAAGTAATAAGGAAATCAATGAAAAGCTCTTCAGGTTTGGAAAGATATGTAAGGCATAGAGTGCCTTTTTAGGAAACCAAGGGAAGAATTTACTAATGTATCATTAGAGAGGGAAACGAAAACTCTTAAGCCTGCAGTCTAAGGCAATATTGTTCTTTTTGAAAGAGGAAATAATTGTACTTTTAGGGCTAGTGAAAAAAAAGCAGGATTTAATATAATGTTATATTATACAAAGCTAATGTTATTATATAATAATACTCCAGGTTAGAATAATTTACGTCTTTTCTTTTTGAATACAGTACAGATTTACTTCAATCTTACCTGATGATAAAGTCCTTCTTGATAGTCCTGAGTCATTAACCGAAACAGGGCCAAAAAGGCCCAGCCAAAATTGTCAAAATTTGTGTAGCCAAAATCGGGGTTTCTGCCAGTTTTTACACACAAATAGCCTTCAGGACACTGACTAAAGAAGACAGAATAAAACTTCTTGTTGTTGGGTGACAGTAAATTACACAAAAGCATAAATTACAGAACATATACCTATAAATAATAGGAGATCTTTTCAATCTCTCCCTCTCTCAAAAATACAAGCTAAATTTTGAGTCAGTGTAAATTAATAGAGTGAATTAAGCTACTTTTTTCTTAAACAGTATATTCTTGAGAAGAGTGTTGAATATACGATGGACTGCTAGGAGAATAAACAAGTTCGTCCTGCAGAGGGTGAAGTCAAGCTGTTCCTTGTAGGCAAGGATTCTGAAGTATATCATCTGACATACTTTGAACATGTTGCAAGGCGAGATCAGTCCTTGGGGAGGGACGTCATACTTGAGAGGGTGGAGGGACAGTGCAGGAGAAGACAACCTTCAATGAGATGGATTGATTCAGTCAGGGGTGTTGTGGGGGTAGGTGTGTCGGACACAATAAGATTGGCAAGGCATAGAGCAGGTTTTAGGGCTGTTGTATTTAGGGTCGCTATGAGTCACAGGTGACTCGGCACATAACAACAAAAACAACAACAACACAAATTATGTTTGCTAAATCTTTATAAATGGTTTTTTTTTTACTACCCCTAACAGCGAAAGCATATTTGATGGAAAACCACATATAGTATTTCAGAATTTGGTCTTCAAATTATCTTAACTCAAAACCATATGCCACATTCTTAAAGGTAAGAAAATACTTACCATATTAGTAATTTCTAAAAATCACTTGGTTTTGCCCAGAAGGAAAGATTAAATACTTATTTTCTTTCTTTTCAGAAGTCCTGATAATTTTATATGGGACTGGGAGGTGTGAGTGTACTGGTATATGACAGTAGTAACTAAAAAATTGTGCCTCACTATAACCATAGATTTAATAAAGTTCCTGATCACCTTATTCTAGGTTTAGTTATATGATTTGTTTTGTTGTTGTTGCTGTTATGTCCTGTTGAGTCACTGATGACTCATAACAACCCTATGTACAACAGCCCTGAAACTTACTCTATCCTGTGCCAACTTTACTGTCTCTGACACACCTACCCTTATTGCCCCAGACACTGAATCAATCCGTCTTATCGATGGTCTCCCTTTCTCTGTCCCTCTGCCCTTCCAAACCTGTGGTCCCTCTCCAAGGACTTGTCCCTCCTTGCAACATGCCCAAAGTATGTCAGACAAAGTCTCAGAATCCTTGCCTCCAAGAAGCAGCCTGGCTTCACCCTCACTAGGATGAACATGTTTGTTCTCTTAGTAGTCTGTGGTATATTCAACACTCTTCTCCAGCACCACAGTACGTTAATGGCTCATTAAAAAATGTGAAGCAGGCAGAAGTTTAAAAGTGCTTTTGTCCTGGGCTTGTCTATCTCTTGATGCCCTGAGACTCATGCATAGAAGTTAAACTAAGCTTCACTGAGGAAAAGGGATATGAAAAGAAAGCTCTGGAAAAAAACACAACAACTCTAGTTCTACAGCTATTCCATGTAAGGAGTTGTACTTGAAGCTGTCTTGAATCATTCAGTCTCTGTTCATCTGCCTGATGAGGACTAACACTGCATGAGCATTTTTAAGTGACAACCCAAGGAGAGCTCTGATTACAGGGAGAAGAAAGGAGGGGAAACTCAATTTAATTTTTCCTAAATTGTTGACTTCTAGCATATGAGCACATGCATTTGATTTAAGGCCACAGCCTTTTGGGTGTAGTTTACCAAGCAGCAAAGGATACATACATGGCTTTTTCTTTTTTACTTAAAATGTATCACTGTGATCCTAACTTTTCAAGAACAGCTATCAGTTTCAACACACAATCCAAATCATATTTCACTTTGATATACACAAGAAATAGGATGAGGTAGACACAATTAGATGGGTATTGTACTTGAGAAATGAACACGAAAACCTGGTACCAGCAGGCAAAATTGTATGCTAAATAAGGAACCCCAAATCCAACCTATATAGGTTGCACTGGAATTGATTCTGGTTAATATCCTCATATGATTAATGAGGCCAAGAAACTAAGGTATGGCGAAGCCTACAAATAAGGCCTAAGCTCTCCCAGGTGAAGAAAGTGAAGGAAACATGAGGGAATTACATGAGTCACAGGACTTCTGAGAAGTACTCTATTTGTACTTATCTCTGTTTAGAATTAAAAGACAGTAAGACATGAGCTATATCACTAAAGAATTATTTATAAATATGGCTTAAGGGACAGTAACTTTTTTATTACTGCAAATGAGTCATAACATATACAGTATATAACAGTGAGGGAAGTATGTCACATCTTTGATACTCTTTTTTCAAAGGTTTCTGGCTAATGATATTATCTTTGTTGACTGTAAGTAAACGGAAAATAGATCTTGGTTTAAATTTCAACTTTGTATTTTCTAACTTTATTAAACTAATCAATTGATTTTTCTGTAAAATTAGATTCATACTGTTGTTGTTAAGTGCTGTCGAATTGTAGACGACTCATAGCTACCCTATGAACGAAAGACCTGAGCGCTTGTATAACTTTCATCGTTTCTCCCGGTTCATAGGGTTTCCGGAGGCAAGATATTCAGAAGTGGATGCCACTCCTTCTTCCAAGCTTGTTTTAAGCAGGGAACTCCACCAAACACTGTTCACCATGGGTAACCATTATTACATTTGATGCATCAGTGTCACAGTGTTCAGCTTCACAACAACCACGAGTTAGCTCTGTACAACAAGTGGACAGACCAGTGCTATACCACTTAGAAGAATGCTTGACCAAAAACAATTAAAACCAGGCCTGGGGGCCACAGATTAAAATCACCCACCTTTGGCTTGGTACTATTAAATTATATACTACTTTTCAGTTGATTATTAAGCTATAACATAGTTAAATATGAGTTATAAGTAAAAGCAGTAGTTATTTGAGAAGTGCTTATTAGTTGCTGATGCTATCTTGACAGAGGAAACATTAATGTTACTTACCTAGCATCAGTTCTGTTGCCACAGAGAAGGGCATACTTCTCTCCCACCAAATAATAAAAGTTCTCTACTTCTGAAAAACAAAGAAAAATGATATATTATATAGCACCTAGAGCAAGATTTCTGGAGCCCAGTTAGGCCAGTACAGAAGATGAACATCTCTCTTTAAAGCTAAAATGAAAGGAATATAAATCTTGGCCTTTCTTACTTTGAAGTCTTTTCCTTACATCTGATATCCAGGTCAACAGATCTATGGGAATTCAGATGCTTACACCAAAACTGACAAACAACGAAAATCTCTTTTAAAATTAAGGTTCAGCAAAGTGGATAAAATCAGCCAAATATGACCAGAAGTCTTGAAGGGAAAAAATAATTTACCAGGACTAAACTGTTAGAAGGACTCTTTATTCCAGGATTTGTTCCTGATGTTCCTTGTAAGCAGGAGACGCCATCCTTTTGTATCATGATTTAATCATACTCTCCTTCCATTTCAAAGTTTATTGTTCGACTCATAGTGCATGTGCATTTCAGGGTCAATTATGAGTTCTGACTTAATGGCAATGAAAGTAAGCTTATATTAATAATTTCAATGAACAATTACATTGTAGAATGGTAGGTAGCATATCTTTAGTTTTCTCTGATGAAATTTCAAGCAAGACTTTGGTTTTACTTATATATTTTTCTGATGATATTAATTAACAAGTCTTAGAAATGCAAAAGTTTAGTTCTCCTGATCTCACTTTCTGAGTATCGGAAACATTACTAACCTGATACAGAAAACTGTTGCAAAATTGTTGTATTATTTTACATAGATAGAAAATGATTTTTACCTGGAATATTATACATGTTTTCTGTTCTGTTGTGCAGTGTCTCATTCTCATTTTCCTGTGGCCACCACAAACATTTATGTTTCAGGTTGCCCATGAAGAGCCCCATACCAGTTAGAGAAAATATACTCAGAAAAAGCAGAGTTAGGATAATGACACCAGTAAGTTTCTTCACACAATTGTTCAGAATTCCTGCAAGAGACTTCATACCTGAGAAGACAAAGATTTGTTTCTGTAACATAAAATGTTGTAGTAAAGCCACATTATCAAACCATTGCTATTGTAAACACATCTCATTGAATGAAATAGATTTGTATATAAGTTTAATCATCTAAGTCTAATTAAAGAATAGAATTAAAAACTAAACATTGATGTTTTGGTATTATTGTTCATTTCTAACACCTGGAAAAAGATTTAAAACATAATATTTTAAAAGTAGCTGTTGGTTTGTTTATTTTTATTCTATAAATTGTAGCAGGCTTTTTCATTTAGTGACTGTTGTAGCAAACCTCATTTTTTTAACAAGCATAAATAAATAAAGGAAAAGAGGTAAAATGCTTGAAAATGTTGAAAAAAGTCTTTGAAATAATTTTATACTATACACCAAGTTTTAATTAACTTTAAAGGAAGTAAGTGAAATTTATTATCATTTTAATTACTAGAAAAGAGAATGCTATATTAGTATGATCTGAATAGGTGCTCTTGTAATCTAGTGGTGAGGAGTTGAGCTACCAGTCCAAAGGCAAGTGGCTCAAATCCACTAGCTTTTCTAAGGGAAAAAAGATAGATGCACAGTCATCTTCCATGCAATTTACAGTGGTTCAGTGAACAACAACATGATATGTAGGATGTATTTCTATCAGAATACTCCTTGAGGATTCAGATTTAAAGTTTAAAAACAGTATTTGCTCTAGTTATTGATGAACATATGGTCAGTTCAGAAGGAAGATACAAAACAAGAAATAAAAATAACATGTAATTGCAGCTCATAGGTGACTGAATTTTCTATTTTTGGATATAAGCTCCAAGTGTTCCTTCCTTACTTCTGCTGCCTTGTTCTCCCTTCCTATTGGTTAGTCTGAGTATATCCAGAGTTCTACTACTCAACTTAACAATGGATCAGAAAGTTAGTAGCCCTGTGATGTTTAGAAAATTAGGCATTTCTATGCATCAGCCTTCTTAAATTTAAAATGAATAGCAGCATATATTTACTATATTATTGTTAAAATTGTAAGTCCAGTTTTTAAATTATCTGCTTCTATGATTATCTTGAATGAAATAGGTCAGATAAAATCATTCTTATACTAAAAAATGTGGTATTTGGATTACATAAACTACTTTAGTTGATATAATGAAATCCATGTTTATAGCCTATTGCTGTTATTCATATACATCTAAATAATATTTTATTATAAGTAAGCTTTAAGTATTTTATTAGAATTTACATTTTTGCATCTAAATATATGATCATGTTTCAATATTGGTACATATGGTTTAAATTTATTTTAAGTGAACCTGAATCAATGTTTATAATGAAAAGACTACATACTTTTTCAAGTATTGATTTAAAAAAAATACCCACATTGACAGTTTATTAGAAAAAAAAATGAAGTCACTTTCCTTCAATGAAATTCCACCAGGATTATCAGTATCATGAACTATTTTTTTACAAAAACATATATACATAGGAATGAGGAGGACTTGTGGTTATAAGCCAATATAAATTTTCACACCAAGATAGCCAATGTCTGTAATACTGCCTTTTATTTGGAATATTCTAAAAGTGTAAAATATGGATTATTCTCCTTTATCTTGTTGTGGTGCTCGAGTATTTTATAAATTCTAAATATAAGTCCCTTGTCTGACATGTCATTACCAAAAAGTTTTTCCCAGTCTGTGGCTTCCCTTTTCACCCTGTTAGAGAAGTTTCTGGATGCGCATAGGGATTTGATTCTTAGAAGGTCCCATTCATCTATTTTATCTTCTCCTGGTTGTAAATTTTTCAGAATACTGGGAAGACTCTTTATGTTGTGGATTAGGACTACTAAAGTTTTTCCAAGCTTTTCTTGAATGAAGTTTACAGTCCTTGGTTTTAGTCCTAGGTCCATGATCCACCTTGAGTTGGTTTTTGTATATGGAGTGAGGTGGGGATCTTGAACAGACACTTCACCAAGGAAGACATTCAGATGGCCAACAAACACATGAAGAAATGTTCAAAATCCCTAGCCCTGAGAGAGATGCGAATCAAGACAACCATGAGATATCATCTCACTCCAGTAAGACTAGCAAAATTTAACAGAACAGCAAGCAACAAATACTGGCGAGGTTGTGGAGAGACTGGAACCCTTATTCACTGTTGGTGGGAGTATAAAATGGTGCAACCACTGTGGAAAGCATTGTGGCGCTTTCTCAAAAAGTTGCAAATAAAGATACCATTTGACCCAGCAATTCCACTACTGGGAATATACCCTAAAGAGACCATAAATGACATCCAAGTAGATATATGTATACCCATGTTTATCGCGGCTTTGTTTACAATAGCAAGGAGTTGGAAACAACTTAAATGCCCATCAACAAACGAATGGGTAGAGAAGCTGTGGTATATTCGCACAATGGAATACTATGCTGCATTGAAAAACAAGGAACTCATGCAATATTATTCAAAATGGGTGACCCTGGAGGACATTATGCTGAGTGAGGTATCTCAATCACAAAGGGACAAATGCTATATGGTGCCACTGTTGTAGAATGAGGCTGGCATTGGGGTGGGTGTAAGACTGAGAAAAACTGGATGAAATGTGTTTATGGCATTGAAGTCTATGGGGGAGAGAATAGTCTAAAAGTATTATATTTTAGGGCATTATTTTTATCGTAGGAGTATGCAATGAGGGTTGCAGAGTGGATTATATTTGGGGGTAGGGGGTGGGGTTTGGGGAGGTGCGGGGGGTATTGTGTACCAATGAGGGAGTTTTTCTTTTGCTTTTCAAGGAGAGGAGCAAATGGGGGGGAGGGGGAGGGGTTTGTGCAGGGAGAAGGGTGCAACAATGAATGAATGGAATCCCCAAATCTCTGTAGATGTTCATTGAAATGAAAAATAAACAACCTAAATTAAAATAAAAAATTTTATCTTCTAAAAAAAAATGTAAAATATGTCACTCCTTTAAGATGATACACAGGTGTCCCTGCTGTAAACTCCATGTAGAGTATTCTTTGTTTTATTGGTTTTGATTCACCTTACAGCTGTTAAAACTCCTTTTTTCAGTTAGTAAGGTAAACATACAAAGTGATGTTTTATGTTCTAATTATTTGAGGGAGCTACAGGAGACTGGTTGATCCAGTGAATTTGCAATTAGCTGCTAACTAAAAGATTATTGACTCGAACTTACACACAGAGTTTCTGTAGGGAGCTCTAGTGACATACTCCCTAGAGAGCTGTTCTAACCTGAAGGTGGCACCTCTCTGGTGGTTCAACTCAACCAATAGACAAAGGAGAAAGAAGAGTACGCTTCTCCAGTGAGATGTATAGCTTTGAAAATTCAGGGTCATTCATGTGTTGGCACCAATTTGAAGACAATGAGAAAGAGTGGCTCTCTCTAAGCAAGATCCAGTGAATTGTTTACATAAAGATTATAACCAAGAAAACCCTGTTGCCAGTTCTGCCTTGGACACACGGGGACAGCATGAATTGAATGTGACTAAATGGTAACTAAGCTAGACTTCATATAGGCACACACTGTTATGTGTTCCTTTTTTTAACTGAAAGTTTCATGGTTTGAACTGACCTCGAAATCTGCTTCTGAAAAGTCACAGCCATGAAAACATTCTGACACATATAGAGCTGTCATGAGTCGAAATTGACTTGAGAGCAAATTTTTATATTTTTAATAGAAAAGCAATTCTACTGTTAAGTCATAGTGACCCTCCATGGCTATAAATCTTAATGAAAGGAAACTGGCCATCTTTCTCCAGAGAAACCATTGATAGATTCAAACCATCAGGGATGCATGACCTTTATAGGCTTGCAATATATAAGCAACATGCTTTATGAACTATGTCACCAGAGTTCCTTGGGGTAAAAAAATTCCTAACAAAATAATTCTCTCTGTTTAGTTTCTTTCCTGGATTTAGAGGAGTTGTCATGCCAATGACCACTGTGATTAAACAGCTTAAACTCACCCATTCAAAAGATATAATTTGATGTACTTAATGTGTTATATATAGTATATTGTAAAAATCTCTACTGTTCATTTGTTTTAGTCATTTTGCACTGCAAGTACACAAAACAAATACATTAGGCTTTCTCATGGCAGTTGAAGTAGACTTTGTTTTTGGTGTTATTATACTTATGTTTAGTTCCTTGATGTCCCTACTATTTTGTAACACTTCTAATTCCTATCAGTCTAAACCAAAACAGCAGCAGTAACAACAAAAACTTCTCAGTGGAGTTATTGGTGGGCGGCTTTCGAGTATCTTTGGGAAAGCAACCTGTCTGTGAATTATTCATCAGCGTCTCCCATTGCAGAAGTTGCAGTTCTCCTTTACTTAGTTGGACTTCTGTGATTTTATGGCATGAGAGTGCACTTTAACAAGTACTCAGAGCAAAGAGGGGTTCATCTTACTGTGAATGTTTATTTTTTATATTTCTTTGTTCATTTTAAATTGCTTCTGGATACGATGAGGAAAATTAGCTAGGCTAGGCATTTTTCCAGATTTCTGTCTGACTCAGAAGTCCAAGAACAATTTTAAAAGCTCTTATTTAAGATATGAAGTAGTCAAAATTAATAATGTGCTTTTATTGATACACTGATATCATATTGTGATCTATGTTGATAACCTAAGTTTAGAACCTTTCTTAGTGACAGTTGATTGTGATTTTCTCCCTACCTTTCCCCACATTTAATTTAATTATTAAATAATACCATGATTTGAAAACTGAAGCAATGTTCTATTTTATGCATTCTTTAGCAACCAAACAGCAGTATACATGTATACTTGAAAATACACAAACCAAAGAAGACAAGAAGCTTAGTGTTATGTCTTACCATGATTTAAAGGTATAATTTTCAAAACCCTCAAAGTTCTTACAATATTAAGTATTGAAGCAGATCCTGGAAGTGAATATCTTGCTACAAACCTGTGAAATTAAATTATAGTTACTAAAAATTCATATTGAATCTATAATTCTTCTCTTCAACTTTCTATACACTTTGGAATTGAGTTTTGAAACTCTTAATCCAATCATATCCTTGCTTTCAATACTCAATTTTACATATAATTCTAGTTTTATTATTGATTAGAAAATAAAATATTTTATCAAGATATGTAAAGATCATACAAATCTTTAAATCAAAGGGAATCTGAAGTTTGACATCATGAATATTCATAATTTCTTACTAAATGCTGCATAATATATTCACTCACTTGTATAATTTACTGTATCTGAAAAGCCACTGGAGAGTCAGCTATTGGTCACCTCTGACTTGATGATACACAACAACAACATATTGTATTCCTAGGAGTGTTATTATAGTCACTGAAAATACATCAATCTTCAAAATTAACAAAACTAGTAAAGGTGTGATATTTATTTTACATATTTAATATTTAAACATTTGATAATGATAATGATAAATGATGAAGGTAAAGGCAATAATTATAAGAGGAGAAGTATGTTGAAGATTGATTTCTGGACTCTACCATGTACTAGCTCTGTGACATGAGAAAATGACTTAATCTTCCTTGTCTTTGTTTTCTTATCTGCAAAAGGATGAATACTTCTTGGTTCAGAAGCTTTTATTATCAAGATTAAATTAATTTATGTACATAATGTGTTTGCAAGAACATTCAATATACAGTAAGTGTTCTCTAAGTTAGCTAACCACAACCACAGTAGTAGTGATACTAATAGAAGCCATCTCTCTCTCTCTCATTGCCATCAAAGTGGAAGTGAAAGTGACTCCCCAGGGGTTTTTGGAGGGTGTACACCACACAGGAAGAGATTGTCCATCTTTCCCTCTCAGAGTTACTGGTGGATTCAAACCCATTACCTTTAGGTCAGCAACAACACTCCTAATGGGCTACACCAGAGCTTCTCTGAGTCATACTCAGGATAAAATAGCATTAGTATTATTTTTCTAATTGCTAGTAATCTGACATCTTTCTTAAAATCTTTCCCAAAGTTATTTCTTAAAAAAAGTTTAACAAAAAACATGAAAGTAGACATTATTTAAAATATATATGCATTATAGGATTTGATGCCGGGGATTATTTTTTTAAAAAAATATTTTAGCTCCAAAATATTGGCTAGAGACATTAAAAATGTTGATACAAAAAGCATTATAATAAAGTGCTGCATTACAATATATTGTCGTTGTTGTTGTTAAGTGCTATCGAGTCACAGGTGACTCACAGAGACTTTATGAACAAAAGTCCTGGACACCTCCTATATAACTTTTGTCCTTTCTCCAGGTACAAAGGGTTTCCAGAGGCAAGCTATTGTGGAAGTGGATGCCACTCCTTCTTCCAAGCTTGTTTTAATCAGGAAGCTTCACCAAACACTGTCCACCATGGGTAACCATTCTTGCATTTGACTCATCAGTGTCACAGACATTACAATATATGTACATTTAAAATACTCTTACTCTGTTATTTAAAATATTTACAAAACTGGAGTAATGTAGTTAAGTGAAATTTTGATTTGGGACTGAGACTTAAATATTCCATAAGCCTATCCTTAATATTCAGGAGATTCTTAAAGTAAAATGTACAATTTGCTCTTTCTTGGCTCCACTAGAAAATGGAAATAATACTCCATAATTTTCATTTTCACTGTACAGTTGAGGATTTGCTCACTTGCAGCTTCCAAAAACATCTCTCTGTGATTTTGATTTACAAAATATCTTTTAGTCATAAAATTTCCTGAGTCAGTAAACTTTGTAGGCTTCAGCATTTCTTAATGAAAAGCAGTCACTTAGAAACATGTTAAGGATGTTTGTAACTTACTCACTCGAACAAAGTGACGCTGAAGTCAAGCCCGTTCCATGGATCACCAACAAAAGAAAAAGGTCCAGCCCAAATGCCTCTTGCAATGAGTTTTACAAGTATTTCCATTGTGTAAATTCCAAGCAAAGTATCCCTGTGGAAATGTTTTATATACATGTTAAAGGGGAGAGCAATTCACTGGGAACTAATTGGCATTTGAGAATCAGCTGTTAGAAAAGTGGCAAGCGTGTTTAGCAGGTCACGTCCTACTTATTATAACTGATTTGAAACTCTCCACTGGGCTTGTAAATGGCAGGAAGGAGACTGCCCATCTGTCTCCCACAGGGCCCCTGATGGACTGAACCGTCCCAGAGACACCACCTCTCTACAGACTATGCCACCTGACAACCCTACTGGCAGGCCAAAAGCAACCAATAATCATCAATCTGAGACAACCAAAAACACAAAGCGTCCTTGAGTTTTAAGATAAAGTTTTAGATTTGGCTTCTAGTGGGGGTCAGTCAGGTCTATGATATTAATCATTAAATTTTACTAGTCCTAGCTGAGAAATGGTCAGCCTAAAACACAAACCCAGTGCCATTGAGTCAATTTAAACTTATAGCAACACTATATAGGACAGTGTAGAACTACCCCACTGGGTTTCCAAGGTGGTAAATCTTTATAGGACATACCACTTCATCAATCTCTCACAAGTGGCTGGGGATGCGAACAGATGAACTCTCGGTTAGCTGTTCAGCCCTTAACATACTGCGCCATCAGACTTCACTTAGAGGTGAGAGTCTTACTCACATACCCATTTATTTAAATAATTAAAATATCAATACTGAATTCACCTCCTCTAGAAATCATATTGTTGTTGTTGTTGCTGATTTCAACCAAGCATAGTGACCCCATAAACAAAAGGCCTGAAGCCCTTCCACAGCCTTCGCCATTTATCCAGGTTCACAGAGTTTCCAGACGCATGCTGTGTAGGAAGGGGATGCCACTCCTGTTTCCAAACCTGTCTAAATTGGGAGCTCCACCAAACACTGCCCACCATGGGTAACTGTTATAGCATTTGACACCTCAACGGCACAAGATTCAGCATCACAGCAACTCTGGGTAACCTCAGTAGAGCATATTGATAGAAGAGTGCTGTACCACTTAGAAGAATGTTCCTCTAAAATATAATAAGAATTGATTTTTAAATACAAAGGCCCTCCCTAAGGTCTTGTTGAAAAATATGGAACGCTTCACGAATTTGCATGCCATCCTTAAGCAGGGCCATGCTACTCTTCTCTGTATCATTCCAGTGTTAGTATATGTGCTGCAAAGCATGTATTAACCGAATTTTACGAATCACTTACAAATGCATTTAGCAATATTTTTAAGGATCTTTGATATCCCAATAGTTAAACACAAGGCTGCTAAACAAAAGGTTAGTGGTTCAAACGTACTCAGTAGCTTAATAGGAGAAAGACATGGAGATCTTCTCTGATGCAAATTACAAGCTAGAAAAACCCTATGAGGAAGTTCTATTATGTCACGAAGCTGCTGTGCAAACCAAGTCATCCCATTTAACAACAAAAGCAACAAGTTAGTATTCTTACAAGTTCCCGTTTTACTCATTAACATCATCTCACTTTAAGAATGCAATTAAGGTTGTTTGGGGTAAAACTTGAGAAAGGTCTTCTTATCTAGAAAATATAATGGCCTTCTACATTGTGCTCTAACATAAAACAAATTACTCAAAAATAAAAAACAAATTACTCTTAAAAACTTTCTTAATGAATTAAAAGGGATCTTTTGAGTTCAAAGCAAAGTGTAGGATTGTAGCAGGTAGACACTTTAAATGTATCAAGCACTGTGTGTGTGAAATATGGGTGATCTCCAATAAAAGATTTGTACTTTGAAAACTCAATGGAGGGTAGCTTTAAATCAGGTTCCACTGTCACCAGCAATTTCCCCCCTTTTTTAATCTTTATAAAAGCAGAGTTCCATATCTCTGTCCCATGGAGTATCTGGTGTGTTCAAATAATGAACCTTTAGGTTAGCAATTAAGCATTTAACAACAACATTGCCAAAATTCCGTGTGTGTGTGTGTGTGTCTGAACTGATGCCAATTCATGGAGACTGCATGTATGTAGGAGACAAATTGTTCTCTCCGTAGGATTTTTCAAGGCTATAACCTTCTTTAAGCAGGGCATCAGACCTTTTTTACTGAAACATCTTTCATTAGAAAAACAAAACAAAACAAAACCCCCCAAACACACAAGTCATTGCTATTATGTCTGAACTGACTCATAGCGGACCTTTCATTGGCTCTCTAAAGTTATAGATCAAATAGGAGGAGATTGCTCATCTTTCTCTCAAAAGCCATTGGTGAATGTGGACAGTCAAAGATGCAGCCCCTGAGTCAGCAGAGCAACATCCCACGTCCAGTGCTAACAGTGCTGCCAAGGAGAGCTCCGACCAAACTTTTGGTTATTAATTAAACTGTTAGTTATTTATGTCACTAAGAATTACTATTTATATACACACAGACATACACATATAAAATTAATCAGTTTTCAGATATACAGAAATTCCACTGCCATCAAGTCAATTATGATTCAAAGTGACCTCATATAGGAGAGAGTAGAATTCTCTAACAGTATTTCTAAAGCTCTACCTATTGATGTAAGCATAGCGTCTTATCTTTTTGTAGAGCAACTGGAAAATCTGAAGTATTGACCTTCTAATTAGAAGTTCAATGTTTAAAATATATTTGCATATGTATACACACACATACTTGAAAAAATTTATTCATTCATTCTTGTATTGATATATAAATTATATATCAGTGATAATACAAAGTATGATTATTAGATTTTTGTTACAGATAAAATATACATATAATAATTTTAATAATATGCATATCATTTAATAAAATATATATACAATTTAATGCAATACAAAAAAATACATGTAACAAATGAGATATATAATAAAATGATAGAACTTACTCTAATATTGCTCTCCAATACGCAAAATTAGTCATAGTCATAAATACGCAGTCAGTCAGGACACTAATTAAAATTAGCAATCGGAAAAAGGTAGGTTATAGTCAAGGAATAACAGATAATAATGTTATAAAAACATATTTATATAGTTATAAAACATATTTATATAGTCTGTTTATATTTATACATAGATAAGATAAATTATTTACTTTTATGAAAATATATATTCTTTATTGAAAAACAATGGAATTAATGTTTTTAATATTAATACTCTGTGTACTAGAAGATATATTTTAAGTATGAACTATTACCAAACCAAACCTATTACAGTTGATTCCAATTTTAATATACTTATAGGACAAAATAGAACGGCTTTATAGAGTTTTAAAGAATATAAATCTTCATAAAAGTAAATGGCCACATCTTTTTCCTGTAGAGTGGCTGGTGGGTTCAGAGTATTGACTTTTTAAAAATAGCCAACAGTTTAACCAGGGCTCCTCCAAGGTTCCTTAGAATGGTCATAACTCATATATCAAAGTGACTTTTTCAAAGCATATAATAACTACAGAAGTATTTGAATAATAAATAAATATCTGCAAGTGGTACTGGCAAAGTATAAAATACAATCAATAAGTCAATTGAAAAGGATATGGATGTACCAAAACCTTAATCATTATTCTTCTAGTGGGACTGAAAGGTGACAAAGTACACCAGGTAGAGGTGGCATTGAACCTGAAGATTGTTCTCCTTTTATTTATTATCATGAATGTCTGTAGAGGGGAAAAAGAATACCACATGGAATTAGAATGCAGAACCATAATCAATTATACAATGCATTATCAATGACTATTGCCGTCTCAGACCCTATCAACTTTATTTTATTATACATTTAAATTTTATACTAAATCAAATAGGAAAGATTTACACAAACCATTTAAATTCACAATTAGACTTCCCTGCTGTTTTTTCTTATGCTAATGTATTATCCAAGACAGCTACTACACACCAAGATCTAGGCCACTCCACACGCTAACTATGCAAGAAAATTATATCTTGCTGGTTTACAGAGACTCAGTGATGAGTACTAGAGGTAGTATGTCTCTAAAATAATAAATAAAAAACAGTAAATTTTATTTTGAAGCAATGTTTGAGGTTAAAAAATATGGAATAATCAATGCATTGCAATATTACACTCATGATTAGTAACAATATTTAGAATAAAATGTCTACTTGTTTGATATTATAGCTGTAAAGATGTGTCACTCCTTTACTCCTTTGACTATCATATTAAGTAAATACTTGTTGATATCTTCTTAGGTCATTTTATCTCCCAAAATTTGCAACTTAACTAACAGAATTCCAGTTATACCACCTCCTTGTCTAATCTCCATTCAGAACCAAGCTCTTCTTTTGACTGTTCATAAGATGTATTCACATTGTCTTAAAGTTTTTCAAGTCATGACTCAAATTTCACTTTCTTAATTAAGACTCTTTTGGCTTTGATAATTCATATTGATTTCTGCCTTTTCTAAACCTAACTGTTCCTATATGTAGGATTTTTGTGTTCTCATATTGTTTACATGTTTGATAGTAGTTGTCTTCTTATTCCAGAAATAAAATAGGGCGAAAAGAAATAAAAGTCATAACTAATATTTATGTTGATTTTACTTTTTAAAATATTGAACAACTTCTTAAATTTAACACTTTAAATGACTGAGGATATTTTAGGCATTTTGGGGATACATAATAATTGTCAACTTTAAGCAATTCATCATCATGATGATATAAAATCACTTGCTTATAGAAAGCATCTGATATCCTTTGGTTAATTAATAAATACTTTTAAAATGTATTTAAAAAGTATAGCTTGCATCCCAGAGACAAGCATTATTTTAAGAAGGGGAACATTGTCCATGCGTTTGAGAATAGGACCCCAGCAACAAATGGCACTGCTTTGTAATCTGTACATTTTGAGAACAGAATTTAAGTCATGGTACATCAGTGGCTACAGAATAGTTTTAATGTAAATGTGACAGGAACCTTTCCTGTTGGCTACTCAAGTCAAGCTGTTAATTTTTATTTTTTTAAATTGTTGCCTCCACAGACAGAAGTTACTTCTAATCTTATTCAAGCCAGGTGTTTTTTAACACCAGAATCTGGTGCTTTACTACAAACCTGCTGCCCTCCTAAAGGATGTCAAGTAAAGGAAATTAACATCAAGGTCCCATGCTTGAAAAATACTCTGAAGAACTTTGAATTCTGTGGGTATGAACATTAAAAGTCAAACTGAAACTTCCTGCCCAAATCCCAAACAAAACAGAAATTAAAAATGGGGAGGAAAGAGATTCATTAGTGGTCTTAGTTTTTTGCAAGACAGTTGGGGGTGGGGGCAGAAAAAAGACTTAAAGAGAGTTTAGTCAAGTTATCTTTATGATTTGACTATGAATTTTAAGTCCATGTTTTAATATTAGTGGGAAATTGCAAAGACATTCCTTCTAACATTTTAATATTCCTTTTATTAAGGGTCTCAGGGAGGGTAATTAGTCAGCCATATTTATTTTCCAGAAGTATAAAGAATTACTGTTTTTAATTAACTTTTTAAAAAAAAAATTAAATGCCACCAAACTCATGTGGATTGCACTGCTTTTCGAACCAGTAAGTGTTGAATATCAAGCACTTTGTTCAAAAACACTGTGTTCTTTTTCAAAATTAGTTTCATGTAAAGTGATTGAATCCCCAGATTAGTGGAAAAAGCTGATAAACCAGCTACTCATAGGCTGCTAACTAAACTTCATTGCCAATGTCTTGGTTTTTCAGTTTTGCCTCCAAGATAAAATAGGGAAGGGGTGGCGAAGAGGAGGAGTGCTCTAGAACTAGTGGAATGAAACTGCCATTTTGGTGGAAACTGCAACTAGTGGTAGAAGCTGTCCAAGTCATCCAGTGTTACTGGCTAGTCTGTTAGCTGCTATTTAGTCTTTTGAGGTGGTGTAGGAACTTCAGATTTTTAATTTCTGAGATTAATGACGTCCATCAGGCATGCATTCTGGAAATGGAATCTGTAAATTCTGTTTGTTTTTTTTTTCTTTGGGGTTTGGGGTTTTTTGTTTTGTTTTTTTGGGGGGAGTTTCATGCTAAAGTGTCAATTGGTGGTTTTGTGAACTGGTCAGAAATTCACAGGTCTTTAATGTTTTGGGGAAATTTATTTTGGACACTGCTCTTTGTCTAGCAAATAAAAGATGTTAATATATTCCTGTTACTGGCATGTGCACGACTATATTATTAGAAGCCACTTTATCATTTTTCTGCTTTAAATAGAAATGTCTATTTATGAATTCTGCTGTAGTTTTTTCACAAATAAAATAGTAAAATTAAAAAAAAATCACTTGCATAACAGTATACTATAATAAAAAATAATTGAAAAGAAACCAGGAAAAAATAAATTTTAATAAAAATTTCAAATATGTATTATTGTTGTTATTGTGTGTATCATCAGGTTGGAACTGACCCAAAGCTGATGGTTCAGGGGGTTTTCAGAGGCAGTAAATCACACAGGAGAGATTGGCCATTCTTCTGTAGAGCAGCTGGTAAATTCTAATTGCATGTCTTTGGGATTGTGGTGCAGCTTCTTACCACTAGGCCACCAGCAGTCTTAAAAATGAACTATATGATACTTTCTTTTCTAATTTACTTATCTATAAACACTGCTTATCCTCTTTGTTTCATTCTACCAATAAGTACAGGCATATAGTCTCCAGTTTACATTCTATTTATAGACAACTCCTACTCGCTTTTTAAGTCAATTTGTGTTGGACAATGAAGCAAGACATGAACAGTCTTTAAAAAGTTTTATAAGTTGTCAGTTTGGCAGGTACCCAGAACTGAAAAAAATAATGGGTCATAACTGGGATGTTAGACTCAGAGGCGGCCTTTCAGGAGTTTGATGTGTGATATTGGTGGGACTTTAAAATGAGGAAAAACCAGATAAATTATGCATACTGCATTCAAACAGATGAGGGAGAGAATAGTTTAAAAGCAATATATTATAGGATATTATGGTTATCATAAGAGTCTGGAATGAAGGTTACAGAATGGAGTATACTCGGGGTGGAGGGTGGTGCGGGGGGATTGAATACCAATGAAGGAATTTTTCTTTTACTTTTCAAAGACAAGAGCGAACTTGGGGGTGGGGGTGAGTGGGGGGTTGGGGAGAAAAGTGCAACAGTGAATGAATGGAAATCCAAAATATCTGTAAATGTTCATTAAAATGAATCTTAAAAATTGTAGTACTGGTAGGACTGTAGCAGTGATGCACATTCTATGTGGTGCAGCTAGCTACTATTTTTGAGTAGGAGTCCATCATATTTGAGCAGTGCTGTCCTCTTTGATGGGCAGCACCACATGGGACTGTGCTCTAAATCAGACGATGAGACATTTAGTTGCTGTGTAAACATGTCTGCTCTTCTTCATAAGAGTGACATTAAGTTCCTACCAAGACTTCAATTCATTTTTCTATTCCACCTATCTTAATGCTTCACCATAACTAAAAATTTGAATCTGTGCAGGTGATGCTTCTATGGCCATTACTATACCAGGTAGAGCTGGTTTGAAACTATGACTAATTCTAAGCAACCGGGAAACTGTTCTCTTTCATACCTTGGAGACTACTTGTACATTTTTTTACCTGTCTGGAATGTAAAACAATAGTAATAATAATAATAATAATAATGTCACAATAAATACAATAATTCTCACGTTTTTATTGTAGTATGGATCCACATCTTCCAAGGGCACTGAAACCATTCCTGGAGAAAGGTTTCCATAAGCAAATGGAAGCTCTTTGCCAACTTCCAAGCTAACATTTGGCTGTAAGTCATCTTCCTGTTCTTCATTGCATTTTTTAGCAATCCGTTGCTTCATAAATTCAAGAGACTCTTTGGTAAAAGGGACAAGGTCCTTAGGTTCTGGTGAGGCCAACATTTCCAATTTTGCACCTATAATACATGAATTTGCTTTAGCTTTATGTAAATTTGATGTATATACTTACAGAAGATTATGATATGAAGAAAAGAGACCAATAAGCTGAATATAAACATTCAAAGAATATCTTCCTGAATTTTGTAGAAATTGAAGTTGTCATAAGTAGCTTTTATTGTACTTATCTGAGACTTAATTTCATGACTAATTCATTACATTTCTATAAATAAACATTGTCTGCTTTATCTTTTACTAAAATAGGTCTTTCAATTTTTTCATGCTAAAAAGTAAAGTATATGGTTACTAGAGATAATTTTCTGCTCAAAACCAGTAGACTTGTTCCTATAACACAGTCCACCTAGCATGATGAATGGAATAGGATGACCAGTTTTGGGAGCAGGGAGTCCTGGGAAATCCTTATGCGTTGACTTGACCTTTGTGGGAATAAGGTTGAATAAGGGGACCAGCTAGTATAAAATACAGAAGGAAGTGTGGACTCTTGAGTTGTAGGTATGTTGACTAAAACCTAACTAAATGAAGAGATGTTTCTTTCTGTGACCTAGTGTTGATTACTGTTACCTGATGGTTTGCTCTGGACTGTTTATAGATGTTGATTCAACTGTAATGGAAAATTCTTTGTAGAAAAAAACATGCTTGTTTCCTCAGAGTACTGTTTTGAAAAGACAAGGCAAATTAAAATTTGGCTGTCTAAAATAGGAGGATTAGACATAATGTATAAAATGTCAAAGTTATATAGTTCCCTAAGCATAGACAATGGTAAAGGAAAGGTTGATCCTATATATAAAAAGAATCAATGGCTAGAAAAGCCAGAGGTTGGGCTGTGGTGTTAGCCTAAAGTTGGCTTTTTAGCCATTACCTTAGCGCCTTCTGGGCTCTCGCTACCTTAACTGCAGACACATGGTCTTGCAAATCATCAACAGCTCTGGTAGTAAGATAAGAGAGTGCCTCCCACACACTATGACAAGACTTGAAGAAGACTGGAGTAAGACCCAGGTAAGGGTGAGACCTTGGTGATGGTGATGGAGAGATTGTAGCATTACTGTGGAAAAACCGTGGTAAGGTGTAACCAGAAGAGCTCTAAGATAAAGGCCACATTTAAAGGTTTTTGATGTTCATGCCAGATGATGAAGGGAAAATCTGACTGCTAAACTGAAACAGGAGTCTGGATTACTTGAGGAATTGTGCCTTGGGACTTATGGAGTAAAACTTGGATTTGCATTGGGTTACATTTTTTGTGTCACTCACTCTCCAACTTCTTTCCCTAATAAACCTCATTCTTGGTACCACAACTGTGATTAAATCTGTGCGTTAACAGCAAATAAGGAAACCTCTTGTTGCTGGTGTGGCTCTAGAGGCACCAAGAGACTGGGCTACAGGCTCTTTATCTGCTTTCTGCTCTGAAGTGTTGTTGTTGTTGTTGTTACGTGCTGTAGAGTCACTTGTAACTCATAGTGACCCTATGTACAAGAGCCCTAAACCCTGCTCTATCCTGTGCCAAACTCACTGTCTCTGACACACTTACCCCCACCACCCCACTCCCTGAATCGATCCATGTCATCGAGGGTCTTCCTCTCCTGTGCCGTCCCTCCACTCTCCAAAACATGATGTCCCTCTCCAAGGATCAGTCCCTCCTTGCAACATGCCCAAAGTATGTCAGACGAAGCTTCAGAATCCTTGACTCCAAGGAGCAGCCTGGTTTTCCCCTCTCCATAACAAACCTGTTTGTTCTCCTAGACATCCATGGTATATTCAACACTCTTTTCCAGCACCACAGTTCAAAGGCATCCATACACTTTCTATCATCCCTAGTCACTGTTCAGCTCTCCAATGCATAGCATGCAATTGTGAAGACTATAGCCCGGATCAGGCACACCTTAGTTTTCAGCCTGATGTTGTTGCTCTTCAGTACTCTGGGGAAGTCCCTGACAGCTGACTTTCCCAATGCAATTCACCTCTTACCTTCCTGGCTGCTGGTACCAAGAGATATGGTGGTGGAGTAGGGAAATGGGTGGGTCAGAATACACGTGGCAAGGGAGGGTAGCAACATTCAATCTATTGGTCATTTCTCTAATTGGGTAAATGTCTTTTATCTTCTCTTTTCTGTAAAATGCTTGTCTCACAGATACTATTATAAAAAACCAAACCAAAACAAACCACAAATTAAGACATACTAGAAAGAAGGATTGGAAATCCACTTCTGAAATAACAGGCCTTTGAAAACCCTATGTTCCTGCAGTGGTGAGGGTATGTGCTATTTTCACTTTCTCTGACCCTTTCAGAAAGACACTCATGATTCTGTGCCCTCATCTCCCATATCTGTTCCTTTTACAACTGGTGTCAGATGTGGGATTTATTAAGGACATTGGAGAGTGGGAAGGAAAAGAATATCTTGCAATACAAGTCTAGGTTTAGTCCAGAAGTCCTATGCCAGATCAACAGCAAAATACAATTCCTTAATTAGTTAAAGTACTAGTTTCACTTCAGGAACACAAATTCAATAAGCCTCTGGTTTCCACAATTACCCACCAAGGTTTGACTCAGAGGAATTTTAAGTTAGCTTCTCTTTCAAGCATCTATCAGGAAGAGCACAACCTTTAACTGTGGCCAGCACAAATGTAAGAAGCCTTAGGTAACACCTTGCCACATTTTCTTCATAGCAAAGCCTCAGTCTCTCCACCACCATCACCAAGGTCTTGCTCTCACCAGGGCCTTGCTCCCATCTCCCTCAAGTGGTTCTGCCCAGTATGAGAAGCACTCTCTCTCTCTCTTACCCTAATCTCACAGCTGTTGACAATTTGCAAGACTTTATGTCTGCAGTTATGGTAGCTGGAGACCAGAGAGAACTACAGTAATGAGTAGAAAAGCCAACTTTAGGCTCACCTCACAACTAGTTAATATGCTCTCAGATGCATTTGACCACTAACTGAATTTTTCTTCCCTAACTACATTCTTTATTGGCTCTAGGCTATGGTCTCCTGTCTCTCAATTTATGTTTTATCCATTTCCCTTTAATCAGGTTTTTAATCCTCCTTAAATTATTACTCCCCCCTCATTTACATTCATCTCTGTGGCAAGTGCATGGGATTTTGGAGACTAATTTTCTCTGTTTGTTGATATATACCAAGTATATTTCCTAAAACTCTGTCTCTTTTAGCTGTCTGAGTGGTGATTTCACTAAAGTCAGCAATTTATCAAGGAAAAACAGAGTTCCTTTACTTTCCCTCTAGTTAGTCTTATTTTTAAATTTTGTAGTTATTGTGAAAATAAAAACACAAACACATATTATTACTCTGGATTCTAAGAAGTTTTTGTCTTTTTCATTAATCTGACTAAGCGATTTTTCATTATTCCCATCATGCCTTCAAGACTGCCTATTGCTTGCCTATCTCCTACAAGGTAGTTGCCCTTGTACTTCTATCTCTAGGTTGCTCTATTAGCCTTTTGCAGGTCTTCACCTCTAGTCTTTGCCTATAATAAGTCATGCTAAAATCTCTTGAAATAGTCTTCACTAAATATAGCTTCATGTATTAATTCTTTAGGAATCATTTTCTTTCATAGAAAAAAAAATGTGTTGTTACTAATCCCCTCCAGCCCATTTTTTATCAAAGCTTAAAAGATATTACTTAGAGACAACTAATTAATTCCCCTTTATTTGCTACTTTCAAATGCTTCTTGTAATTTTGTCGTTATAACAAAAAGCAAACAACCCATTGCTTTCAGGTAAGAACAGATCCATAGCTACCTCTCTGGTGGGTTTTCAGAAGTTGTGAATTTCAAAGAAGAGACTGTCCATCTTTCTCCCTCACAGCAACTCGTGGGTTTGAACTATGGGCCTTTGGGTTGAAAGTATAACTCTTTAATCACTAGCCACCAGAAATTATTTTTATTATTATAATCAAGGATAAGTTTATACTCGATATCACAGTATTTTACATGTGATATTTTACCTTTTCTAGTATTGGCACTACCTGAAATCCTTCTATAAAGCTCTTCAGGAGAAAAGTCATATACATGTGCATATTCTACTATGCAGTTTTTCACTGTTTTACAAAATTGAGTTTTTTAATAATTTAATCAACTAAATGTCTATCAATAATAAGTAAGACATTTAATCTTAATGGTCTAACAATCATTTTAAGAATCAGATGCCTACTACATGTATAGGCAAATAATTGTTATATGGAGTCCAGTCAGAACTAACTGTAGCTGACTCTCCAATGGGTTTTCAGATGCAGTAATTCACACAGGATGAGATTACACATCTTTCACTAACTGAGCAGTTGATAAATCCAAACCATGTGCTTTTGGGTTGGCAATGCACCTTCTTACGAATGGGCCACCAGAGTTCCCCATTTGTACAAGCAGAAGATTGTAATTATTCGGAAGATGCAAGATCTCACATTCAAGGAAAGGACACATACTCTATTGTGGGAAATAAAAATTAAAAACCTGTGGTTTATGCCTTTTATGGGATCACAGGTAAGTATTTGCTTTTTCTTTCAGTATCTCTTGCACTTTTCCTGAACAATCACTTCATTTATTTACTTCTAAGTAGGCACATAGATCCTCACATCTATTTCAATTTTCAGTTTCAATTCTGCATCATCTCTCAGACTCTTGTTCAAAATCCCTAGCTCTAAGAGAGATGCAAATCAAGACAACTATGAGATATAATCTCATTCCAGTAAGACTAGCAAAATTTAACAGAACAGCAAGCAACAAATGCTGGCGAGGTTGTGGAGAGACTGGAACTCTTATTCACTGTTGGTGGGAGTGTAAAATGATGGAACCACTGTGGAAAGTGGTATGGCACTTTCTCAAAAAGTTGCAAATAGACCCAGCAATTCCATTACTGGGAATATAACTTAAAGTGACCATAACTGACATCCAAGCAGATATATGCACACCCATGTTTATCGTGGCTTTGTTCACAATAGCAAGGAGTTGGAAACAACCTAAGGGCCCATCAACAAACGAATGGA